GCTGGTCGATTCCATAGACAAGAGTACCATCAAGACCAAGGATTGCTTGTTCCACTTCTCCTCGAAGCGGGTGGTCGGCGACGGCAGGATTCTGCACGCGTGGGCCATCATCAAATGTCCGATGTACAGCCCGAAGGTTCAGTGCTTCGTCAGGTGCCGCCCAGTTTCGGTGGTGGATGCTGATGTCGTGGAGGGTGGATTTGCGACTCGGGCCCCTGCAGCGTACCCGTGCAAGTTGAAGATCCTGCAGTCCAAGAGCCGCCTCAGTTCGCAGTCGGTGGTGAACCCCTTCGTCGTCGTGGACAAGGAGACGTCAGATGAATTCGTGAGGAGGCTGCCCTGTCGGACGTCGCGGCGAGTTGCGCGAGTAAACTACGACGAGGCAGTGGGCGACGACCTGCTGCACGTCGTGGTCGCGGGCCAGGGGGCAGCGACCGACCTGGCTCCGAAAGAGGGCAAGCGCGTCGCGTCGGCAGACGCGGTCGTGGACCTCAAGCTTGCCCCGACTGGCTCGGCGATTCTGAGCGGCATCATGTCCGCGGAAGGAGCAGGGGCGGGCGCAGCGGCGGCAGCCAGCCCGCCCGCCATCCTCGATGGAGGGGGGCACGCTGACGGCGGCTTGGGAGACGGTCTCGACCAGCTGGTGGCCGACTACCTGGATGAGCACTTGCACGGGGATGTCGCGGGGGCCATGGAGTTTATCGATGATAACCTTGCTGGTGATATCGCCGAAGCGGAGGCCGACGCCGACGACGCCGACGATTTCGGCATGAGCGAACCCGAACCCGAGGGCGAGGGGGAGGGCCCCCATCATCGCGGCGAGGGCGAGGGCGGCCCTGGCCCAGACCCAGAATGCCCAGGGCGCCGCGACGCATTGGTCGTCGCAGCCGCCGACGCTGCTGCTGTACTCGGGGGCGCGCCCTTGCCTGTGGCGCCGCTGGCCGCCGAGCCAGGTGGCGCGGGCGCTGCGCCTTGCCACGTGGACGTGCTGGGGGTGGTGACGGGGTTGGCGCCGCCTCGCAGTGGAGTCCCAACTTGTGGCTTCGTCGGTTACAGAGGCGACCGCACCAACTTCTTTGCTAACTGCCACTTGCACCCGAAGTGCAGCGTCAGCGCTGGCATCATGAGGCGCCACGTGCCGATGGAGTACATGGCGGAGTGGCTGATGCTCGGCGAGGTGGTGGACAGGGATCTCCCCATGGAGGAGCGGATGGCCGCGGGCGCCCGCCACCGAGCGCTCTGGGTCAGGCCGTGCCGAATTCAGCACCAGTTGTAATTAATACACTCGTTGGAAAAAATGAACATCAACTGGTCCGCCGACATCCGCCGACCCCCAGCACTGTGTACGACCTCTACTTTCTCCGTCACCCTCCATCTCCTCAAATGTACTTCCTCCTCTCGCCCACCCAAGTCTAACCCAGGCGGGGGGGGGGGCCGTGGGTGAGGGTTCCCTGCTCCTGCCGGGCCAGGGCCCTGACGCCTACGCCCCCCCGTCGCACGGGGGCAACGTAACAGGGCCGATGGGCAGCGTTCCAGTCTGGGAGGCAATGGGGACCGGGGTGGGCGGCAGTTAGGCAAAGGGGAGGGCTCGCGCTGGGATGTGCCAGGAGGGAGTTCCCCCCTCCAGCACTGGTGAATCCAATTTACCGCGCGAGCCCTCCCCCGCGCCCGCCTTCACCAGACCCTGCTCGAGGCCCCCGGGTCCCTGGCCAATCCCACTGAAGTTCTAAACTGCCCAAGCTGTACGGGCCATATAGGTGCGCAGGGGAACGCCAGTTTCAGGGTCTCTTTCAAGGTGCAATGCTTGACCGCCCGCCGATGGCGCGCGGCACCGTTGCAGCGCGCTGCGTATAATAGGCACGCTCCGCGAAACACTCCTCGAGACACACGCCCCCGCGAAGCGCTGCCCAAGACGGCCTCGAGAGGCCTCCCAGACACACCCAAAGAGCCACAAGAGGGCCCCAATACCCCCAAGCGAGCCCCAAGAGGGCCCCAAGAGGACACCAAGAGAGCCCCAAGATGGTCTCAAGAGACATCCGAGAACCTCTCACAACAACACCTCATTTTTTTCCAACGGCATGGGGGCAGCAGTAGTTTCACATAGTGTGAATGCACTGGTGGGCGCTGCCACGAGTGGGAGGGGCGCGACCGCACCTCCCGAACCTCCGAAGGTGTCGGGCGGCACCGCCGCCTCCCTCGAGAGAAGTATACATGTCTTGCTCGCCGCTGCAGCGCGTCCGACTGGATTGCTGCCCTGGGTTCGTAGGTTGTTTTGTTCGTGGTGTGTGTTTTGTTTTCGCGTGGGCATTTCGCGTTGTGTTTCGTGGGTGTGTTTCGTGGTGTATTTCGTTGGGTGTTTCGTGTGATGGTTTCGTGTTGTGTTTCGTTGTGTTTTTCCGTGGGGCGCGTCGTGGGGTGTTTTTTTTTTTTTTTTTTTTTTGTCCGCGGGGTGTTTTTCGATGGGTGTTTCGTGTGGTGCGTTGTTGTTTCATGCGGTGTTTCGTGGGATGGTTTTCATTTTGTGTTTCGCGGGGTGTTCCGTGGGGTGTTTCGTGGAGTGTTTTGGTTGTGTTTTCGTGCGGTGGTTTCTGTTGTGCGCGTTGTGTTCGTAAGGTGTTTTGTGCGGTGCGTCGTGGAAGGTTGTTCGGAAGGGTATTTCGCGCGGTGTTTCGTGGGGTGTTTTTTTCGTGGTGTGGTTCGTGTTGTGTTTCGTGGTGCGCTCTTCGCGCGGTGGTTCGCGGGGCGTTTTGTTTCGCGGGGTTTGTCGCGGGGTGTTTCGAGGAGTGTTTTCGAGCGGTGTTTCGTCGGTTTTCCCAGCCATCCTTTGGTGTTGAGTCCTCGTTTTGAAGAGACAGCGCCCCGCGTTCCCACCTCCCGCTGCCCTCCTCCCTCCTCGCATCATCGTCATCATGATCATAATCATGATCGTCATCATCAGCATGCTCACTGTCGTCGTCATCGCCAGCATCGCACCAGCATCGGGATCATCATCATAGTCGCCATCATCATCGTCACTTTCATCACCAGACGCCCCACGAGAGCCCCCATGAGGCCCCCAAGAGATCCCCAGGAGGCCCAGTGAGGCCCCCAAGGGAGCCCCCCCAAGAGGTCCCAGGAGGCCCCCAAGAGAGCCCCAGGAGGTCCCAGGAGGGCCCCAATAGGGTTCCAAGACGGGGCCCCAGACGCGGAACCCCAAAACATAAATGATGGCGTGGTATTTACCACGCGGAACAACAACACATAAACATGTGTTTTGGGAGTTGCCACTCGTGCGTTCCGTTGTGGGCTTCCCAAGAGGTCCCAGAAGGCACCCAAGATGGCCCCAGGAGGTCCCAGGGGGGGCCCGAGAGGATTCCAAGAGGGCCCAAGAGGGGCACTGGAGGAGTCCCAGAGGGAACCTCAGACGCGGAACCCCAACACATAACATGTTGTTTTGGATGTGCCACGCGGGACCCCAAACACTAAAACATTTTGTTTTGGGACTTGGTTGGCTCTGTGGGGGCTCCAATTGGGGTGGCTCTGTGGGGGCGCGAATTGGGGCCCTCTTGGGGTTCTCTTGGGGCCCTCTTGGAGAGGTCTCGGGGCCATCTGGGGGCCCTCTGAAAGCCTTTGGAGGGGCCCAAGAGGGCACCAAGACGTCTCCAAGATGGCCACAAGAGGGTCCCAAGATTGCCTCATCCTTCTCCTCCTACTATTCCTTCTCTTCCTCATCATCCTATGCATCATCCCTCTCCCCATCTCCCTCGTCCATCCAGCCTCCCTCTCCTCGGAGATCCCCTTCTTTGCTCCCGCACTTCCTGATCACCTCAACGCGCCTGGGCGTCGTTCGTGGATTGGCTGGCGGGGATGCGCGAAGCGTCACTCAGTGTCTGCACCAGCGCAGGCGTCACTTTGGCACACCCCTCACGCGTTTCGCTGACCCATAGGGAGCTCCACCGAAGGCACCAGTGGCAGACCTCACATGCCGCCGCCAACCCACTTTGGCACGCGCCTCGCACTTTTCGTGCCCCCATATGGGAGCTCCACTGAAGGCACCAGTGGCAGATATTGCATGCCGCCGCCACCTCATTTTGGCACACGCACACATACCTCACACGCTTCGTGGCCCCATAGGGAGCCCCACCGAATGCCTCAGTGGCAGGCCTCGCATGCTGCCGCCAACCCACCTTGGCACACCCCTCACGCGCTTCGTTGCCTCAGTGGCTGCGTCCGCATGCCTCCCCCGCGCTCATTTCGGCACACCCCTCACGCGCTTCGTGGCCCCATAGGGAGCTCCACCGAAGGCTCGCAGGCTCGCATCCCCCGCCCCCCCCCCCACCCCCCCCCCCTCCCCTCACCCCGCCCCCCCCCCCCCCCCCCCCCCCCCCCCCCCCCCGCCACCACCGCCACTTTGGCAGACCCCTCGCACAGTTCGTTGCCACACAGGGAGCTCAACCGAAGACGATACTCACAACTGCGGTACTCACAACTGCATATGGCTGGGTCCTTCGCCAGGCTAATTTTCAGCCATCCTGTGGTGTTGGGTCATCGTTTTGAAGAGACGGTGCCCCGCGTCTCCACCCTTCCGCTGCCCCCTCCCTCCCCCATATCCATAATCATCACCGCGATCATCATCATCGCCATCATCAACATCACCATCGCCCATTTCGACACACCTCATGCGGTTCGTGGCCTCATAGGGAACTCCGCCGAACGCCCGCCGTCCACGTGCGCCCCCCCGCCCAATTCGGCACACTCTCACACGCTTCGTGGCCCCATAGGGAGCTCCACCGAAGGCCCCAGTGCAGCCGTCCACATGCGTCTCCCCCGCCCAATTCGGCACACCCCTCACACGTTTCGTGGCACTATAGC